TCCAGGCCATGGGCAGTGTTAACTGGCAATACAGCATTCTAACCACTTCACCACCTTGTGTGTGTGTGTGTGTGTGTATCTCCCATCTTGAGTTTTTATCAGTGAACCTTCAGAATGAGTGTTTTTCTCCCATTTCCTTTAAAATACCATTTGTTTCTTTTCATGTTCCCTTTTGAGATCCTGTATGTCTAAATTATACCATCCCTTTATGCTATATCTTCTCACCAGTCTTCTTCATCACTTTACCCATTCCTTTGTGATCTCTGCAAAATAATGGCTTTAGTGATTATTCAAATAAGTTGGCAGGGAAATGACTGTAGTACATTTCTTCATCATTACTGGTAGAAGTTTGTGTGGAAAATTTTACTTTTCCTGCAGTCCAGTCCAAGGGTCTGTTTAGTTATTATTTGCCTGCCTCTGTCTGTGTATGTTTGTGTGACTGACTGTCTGTCTGTCTGTCCTGTCTGTCTGTCTCTATCTATATCTATCTATCTATCTATCTATCTATCTATCTATCTATCTATCTATCTATCTATCTATCATCTATCGATAGTATCTATCAGTAGTATCTATCTGTCTTATCTACCCACAGTATCTATCATCTATATAATCTAATATAATTTAATCTATTTTTCTATCCATACTTCTATATCCACCTACTTACCTATTGCTCAGCTTCCTTATTATTATTATATTTATTATATTTATCCTATATATATAAAAATGGCTGTGTGTGTATGTTCCGGTATAACTCTGGAACACCTCAAGCAATTTCAACCAAACTTGGTACACAGATGACTTAGTCTCTGTGTCTCTTAGTCTCCAACAAATACTGTGGGGATAAGACAGCCCTAAAACCCCTCAGGATGTGTGTTCTGTTAAGATACAGCCTGTTGTGCCTTAAAATGACTTCTATTGTAGTGCCATAAAATGGCTTCTACTTTGCAGCACAGTGGAGTTTCCATGGTAACGGCTTCACAGTACTCCACAAGGGGGCTCCCTCTGGTAAGGGGGAAAATGCAACATGAGATATTACATTTGGTCTGGACATTTCCCCTCTGTAAATAAATAAGTAAGTAAGTAAGTAAGTAATACCGGGTTAACGGCTAGTTTATAAATTAGTTCAGGGTGGCAACATATCTTAACACTCTTTCTTCCTCCTTTTTCCCCCCACAATAACAATTGTGAGGTAGGCTAGCCAGAGAGAATGACTGGCCCAAAGTCATCCAGTTGGCTTCCATACCTAAAGCAGGACTAAAACTCACAATTTTCTGGTTTTATACCCTGGTGCCTTAACCAATAGACCAAATTGGTTTATCATCCCCTTAAAGTATTTATAAGAACAATGGAGCGGTTATAATTCTGCTATTGTCTTTCGAATATGTTTCTTCAAGTAGCATTGTTATATCATGCTATTGGGGTTCAATATATAATGGGGCCTATCAGGGACAATTGTGAAACTCCTGTTCCCATACATGTAATTGCTTTGTAATCTTTTCTAATTCATTCTTCTTTTATTACCTCTTGTTGGAATATCCTTATACCGAATAGCACATTTTTCAAGTTTACATTTTGGATTGTCAGACTAAATTTAGCTACATTATTGTTGATATTTGATTTTCCTGTTTTGCCACTATGTAAATTATGTTTTGCATTTGCTGATTTTCTCTTTCCATAACTTCATGGCTGCAACAACAGGGATTAATTACTTTCATTTCTCAATCTCTTTCTTATTTTCCTGTAACTTTTCCTTGAAGGCTTTCCCTTCTTTTGAATTCCTCCCAATTCCTGCTGCTGTAGATTTACTAAATGTGCAGTATGCCTTAGGAAGAATACCTCGGCTGAGCCTCGTGTTGTCATATCATAATACCGTAGTAGCCTATCCTTTGGAGTCTTAATTGCTTCCTTTTGGAAGCATCTGAGCAATGTTTTGTTCAACTGTTCTACCTGCTCAAAGCCAGCAGAGGGAGTAGCATAATAGAAGGTGACTGCCTAAAAGAGGCCATCCCAGGCTTTCAGAGATTTTCTGCAAGAACTCTTTCTTAGCTGGTCCCTTGGGCATACAATTGTAGGAAAGGAAGGGAACGTGGTGGCATGGGGCTTATCAATGAAAGCCAGTTGCACTTTGGCTTTGGCTAGCTGAGTGTCCAAGTTTCCCTTTTCTATATAATGTCAGGGTTCCAAGTAATACCCCCCAATGAAAGAAGACGCCGAGGCTGGAGTTTCCTCAAAGTTCCATTTTATTAGAGATGTCATTTTGACACATCTGGGAAAACCCAAATCTGAAAGTTTCCAAGTTTTCCCCACTCAAATGAAAGTTCCTGCCCAGCACCCACATTTCCATCACATGGCCCGATCAGGCACCATCCAAAACTGGAGATACCTCCCAGTCACCTCATCGCAGCTGCCAGGCAAGGTGTCCTTGACTCTGAGAAAAGAATGTTATTTTGACTGTATATTTCCCATACTCCATATAATCCCCCCCCTCCCAGTTTCCCACAGTAGGAAATGTGTGAGGCCTGAAGGCCCAGTGTAAAAGATGGCCTCCAGGTCTGACACATAGAATGTCAGATACTTAGCATAAATTCTGGCTAGTCTAGGACAGTGGTTCTCAATCTCTGTGGTCCACAGATTCTGGGGGGCTGTGATGTTGTCACTGAGTTCGCTAAACCTTGAAGAAATGTTATGATTTAAGTCTTGGGAATCCATGGCCACAAAGGTTTTTTAAAGAGGTTTGATGGTGAAGAAAAGGTTGAGAACTACTGGTCTAGACCAATGGATGTCCAACCTTTTGGCTTGCCTGGGCCGCATTGAGTGAAGAGGAACAGTCTTGGGCTGCACATAAAATATATAATATACAGCAGTTTATATAAATCACATAATATTAGAAGTGTGCCATCTTTTGGGGCTGCCTTACTAGCTGTTCGGGGCTGCATGTGTCCTGCGGGCTGCAGGTTGGATACACCTGGTTTTTATCAGTTTCTTTCAAGTTTTTGTTCAGCACTGCATCTTTTTGCATAGTTCTCTTATTTTTCTTTATAGGGTGTTTGGTCTTTGGACACTGTAGTCAATCTGGTATTACTTGTCCGTCATGTCTTTTTAATTAAAGGAACCTATTCCATTGAGTGCGCCTATAGCTTTGTAATGTCCGATTGAAGGGGCACTGCACCTTATACAAGATCTGTCTAAAGCTACTGTTTTAATTTGGAAGAGGACGTACATCTAATGATGCATGCAGTGTTTTCCTAGATTTTTATACATCTCTTAAAACTCAACATTTCATTGGCCGAGAACTAGAAATTTGGCAAAAAGGAGTGTGTGATTCATGAAGCTTGCAGTCTTGGATGGAACCTTGGGTATTGATGAATCGGAAATACTAATTGGGCTGTCCTGCAGATTATATCCTTATCTATAAGCTTCATCAATAGGTACAGTCATCTCCTGTCTGTGGCCAGGCCTTCTCCAATTGCCACTGCTTGCTAATTCCAATGGCCTGGCTTTACTCCCACATTATCTTCAGATAATTCAAAGCCTGTCTCTATGAAGCCTTTTTAATTGTTATTCTTCTCAGCTCAGTGGATTGAATCACAGCTGCCCTAAAATAGTTAACCTTCTGATGGACTCCTACTCTTGCCCCTGAATAATACAAGATTAACCAAGCCCTATGTGTGACCTCCTAGGGACGTGGTGGCTCAGTGGCTAAGACGTTGAGCTTGTCAATCAGAAAGGTTGGCAGTTTGGTGGTTCGAATCCCTAGTGCCACATAACGGAGTGAGCTCTTGTTACTTGTCCCAGCTTCTGCCAACCTAGCAGTTCGAAAGCATGTAAAAATGCAAGGAGAAAAATAGGAACCACCTTTGGTGGGAAGGTAACAGCATTCTGTGCACTTTCGGCGTTTAGTCATGCCGGCCACATGACCACGGAGATGTCTTCAAACAGCACTGGTTCTTCAGCTTTGAAACGGAGATGAGCACCGCTCCCTAGAGTCGGGAATAATTAGCACATATGTGCAAGGGGGATCTTTACCTTTATGTTTGACCTCAGTGCTTTGATATCAGAAAAAATAAGGCATGAGCAATCCTGGATTTTAAGAGAGTCAGAATTTGTGAGCGTCATAAGAGCTGCCATGACCACAATTTCCCTTTGTATTTTTTCTAGACCTCTCTTCTGTGGCAAATCAGAAGCTGACCAACTGGGCAAGATCTTTGAGTGAGTCTCAACTTCTTATTATATGCCAAAGGTTGTGGGTCAGTAAATCATCACAAAGAGGAAGTTATCATTATTTAGAGCATTGGTTTTGCTCAACATGACTTGAGGTAGCTTGACTGATTCTGCTCTATATAAAGATGCAGAGCAAAGGTTTGTGAGTTGGGTTTTGTGAGCCAGAGAAAGCAGAAGTGACTCATCATAGCTGCAAGATCTTATTTTGTTGATCTTTCTAATTGAGCAAATAGCCAGAGGTAATAGGGGTTTGGCCACTGGCTTTTGTTGAGAGTTAAAGCAGGGACATTTGCTGGGTTGTAACATTCAAGGGGCACAACCTCTCATGGAGGATGCTGGGAATTGTAGTTGAAGAAGTATCTGGAGAACACAGATTTCCAGTTCATGTATTTAAAAAGATGATAAGAAACTATGCAAATAGGACTTATCTATTTTATTGTTGATGTTTAATGGTTAGTTGTGCTTGATTCCAGTTAAATTGCATGATTTTCATACTAGGCAGGGTCTCAGGGGAAGTATTATTTAGGGGAGTTAATCTTGTTCTGCGCTTATAAGAACTGGAAATCTGAAAATCCTGCATTAGAACAATGATTACAAGATGAAAAAAAAACCATTCATTCATGTAATTTGAAAATTGGTGCTATGGCTAGGAAGCCTTTGGAGTCGCAGTGGTTGCCTTGAAACCAATCTGAGTTGGATCTAGCTCCTGTTTTACCCCTTTCTTTCCTTCAGCCTGATTGGTCTCCCTTCAGAGGAAGATTGGCCATTGGATGTGTCTCTGCCACGCTGTGCCTTTGCTGCTCGCTCACCACAGCCGGTGGAGAACTTTGTGCCAGAAATCGAGGTCCTGGGGGCTCAGCTGCTTTTGGTAAGTTCCGAGATACCAGAGTAATTACGGCACAAACCAGAGCAAAATAGAAATTGAGAATTGGGGATAGAGCGTGTTGTGGTCTCCCTGCAGTCTGCGGAACTGGCAGCAGTGAGGAGGTTGGGGAGAAACATGGGCCAGTCCTGGTATCTGGGGAAGACTCGGATGAGGTCTCTGCATCGGAGGCAGAGAGGGGGCCAGGGCCATCTGGTAGCTATGTGCTGCCTCCAGAGCCTGATATTAGTGAGGCAGAACAACAGTGTCAGCCTGTTCCCGCTGTGCCATGCACAGAGCTTTCAGAAGGCAAGAACAATTAAGACAAAAAGGGTGACTCGGGAGTAAGGCTTAGAGATTATTGGCCCCTCCCATAAGACATAAAAGAGGAGCCTTTGCAGGAAGCAATTTTGTTCATTCTGGTTGGTTCAAACTGAGAAACTCAGTCTGACTCTGTGCTCCGTTTGGCCTTGCAAAACTAGGTTTTTGGCAGCGTTTCAAGGGAGATAAAGGTGGGTGCTTATCAGCCTTACCCCTGAAAGACTGGCAGACTTCTGTCAGACTCTTCACAGATTGTTTGTGAATCATTACGGGCTGTGAATGACCATAACTCACAGCCGTTTAAATAAAAGAGGGTTTTGGGGACTAAGCTTGTGATTTATGCTTTATCAGGAAGCCTAGATCAGAACAGAATGAGGGGGTAGAATGATCATTGAAAGCCTGAGCTTGGTATTATTCTGAGAATGGAAATACGCAACAAAGGAGAGATTTCCTATCTAGGTAGCTTACATGAGTCACTAAGTCACTGGTTCTTTGCACCCCACCGTCTTGTCATTTGTCTTTGGCAGGGAAGAGGCAGTGAGTGTTAGTGACTCAGTATTTGATAACCAGGAGCAACTTAATTTTCCTCCAGTCATGCTGCCGGTGGCAACTACAGCTGGCATCTGAATAATGTACTGTGTGAATTTGACATTAATCATAGAATAGCGTGAGCAGTACTTTCAATGCAAGTTCAAGTTTTAGGGCACACCAGAGATCTCTAGGAAGGATCTGAGAACTCCTGAAGCCATCTCTACGGCTCCAGTCCTTGGTTTGCTTGCCCTCTCGTGTGGCTCTTGCTCAGGAGAGATTTGGAAATCAACTGCAGTGGTGGATGAATGTGTACATATATGTTCTTATGAGATGTATGTGATGGGTTTCCTTTTTTTGTGTCTGTGCCTCTCTAGGAAATGCTGACATTCAATCCACTGAAGCGTATATCTGCCTTCCAAGCCTTGTATCATCAATACTTTCAGGACAAGAACGCAGGTGAAGGGTAGCATCCCCAGCGAATCCCTGAGCCTGGGGGAAGAGACTATACAAAAGACTTTGTGAATATGCGTATAACGTGAACCCCACCAAGTGGATACACTCAGACTAGTCCCCAAGCTGTCCTGGCTGTGCTAGGATGGAAGGGGGTGGGAAGGACAAAGCTTTTGACAACATGCATGAAAACAGAGAGGGTCATGTTGCAGGAAATGCACCGTTGAAATCCTCTCCCACCCTGAAAATGTTAGGACTTTAAGAGTGGCCTCTCTCCGTCACTGTGCATGCACATTCTGTATTCCTGGGTTGATCTCCAGTGGCGTTCTTGGAGGTCTGTTTGTTTTTGGGACTCCCTGGTTTGAGGCATCTCGGTCACCTATGGGTTCTTTGCCAAAGGTCTCTTTTGGATAGCCCCTTTTTCCTCTAGTAAAATTTTTATAACAGTTTACACATAATAATATTGCTGCCTTATCACATTCCTGTGGCTAACAGTTTGACACTAAAGCCTTGCCTTAGCACGTTGCAGAGCTCCACAAAAATGGGAGCAGAAGATTATTTTTGTATAAGTCTTCACAATTCTTTTTTTTTAATTGCCAAGACACTGGTCGGGAGAGACCTAAGCGGTTGCCTATCTCGGCATGGGGAACACGTTCAGATGAGAGGCGTTTTCCCATCTGTTCAATTCCAAATATTAATGTGAAACGTTTTTTAAAAGGCTTTTAAAAATGATAACATTTCAATAAAGGATATGGGTGAGGTCCAGGCAAGTATAGTTTGGTCTTTCCCTTCTCTTGCCACCTGAGGTTGCCTCGTGTTGTGATTAGTTTGGTGAATGGTTACCTGGGTTGGGTTGCTCCAAGTGTTGATTCATCTGCACTTCAAAGAGCTTTCAGGAACAGAAATTCATATCGCTCAAGCTTTTGCTTTTCAAATTGGAAATTTGATGGTTCACATTGTGTGTTCTGTGACATGTACTAATTTTTCAGAATCTTCCAAAAGTGAAGAGAGTTATTCTAAGTCCTGCTGCTTGCCTGATCTGTTAATGAGGTTCCTGACAATCTGACTCTGCAATAGCCTCTCCGGAACATTCTTGAGCTTTGCTTAGTGTTCCTATCCTTTTCCTTCCTCTCCTCCTCCCCTCTCCTCTCCTCCACTCCTCTCCCTTCCTTCTTCCTCCTCTCCCCTCCTCCCCTCTCATCCCCTTCTCCCTCTCTCTTCTCCCCTCTCCTTCCTTCCCTCTCCTCTCCTCCTCCTCCCTCTCCTCCACTCCTCTCCCCTCCTTCTCCCTCTTCTCCCCTCCCCCTCTTCTCCCCTTCTCCATTTCCCCTCCTTCTCCCTCTCTTCCCTAATTCTCCCTCACCTCTCCTCCCCTTCTCCCTCTCCTCCCTTCTCCCCTCTCCTCCTCCTCTCCTTCCTCTCCCCTCCTTCTCCCCCTTTCTCCTCTCCCTTTCCCTCTCCTCCCCCTTCTCCTCCCCTCCCCTCCTTCTCCCTCTTCTCATCTCCTCTCCATCCTTCTCCCCTCTCCTCCTCTCCCCCTTCTCCTCTCATTCCATTCCCCCTCTCCCCTCCTTCTCCCTCTCCTCTCATCTCCCTCCTCTCTCCCCCCTCCTCTTCCCATTTTCTTTTCCTTTCTCTTTATCCATTTTGATTTCTGTTACATTGTTTTCTTTTTTTCTTTTCCCATCCCCCTTTAACCTTGAGGTCTGCTTCGCCCTTTACTATGGGTCTTATGAATGTGACGTAGTTGTACAAATCTAACGTACTTCTTTAGCAAAGTATGTTAGATGTAGTAGAAGCTCTTGTCAACCTACAGATATGCCTGAACTATCTTGCAGAAGGGTGAAAATACAATTCTTGCTCCTGTTGGCTTTATCTTGGTTCCTAGGATAAAACGGGGGAGATGGCCATGGTGAGGTGCACCTCTTTCTTTAAAAAATAATAATAATAATCCCCTGATTCAATTCTTTGAATGGACTTTCTAGCGAAGGGCCTGAGGAATCTTGATATGAAACCACAAAGAACTTGCCAATGCTTCATGAATGTGCAATTTAGCCAAGTAAAAGACACTTTGTTGACATTTTTACTTGCAAAAATATGTCTTTGTTCTAAATAATTTGTTAGTTTGGGGTTCTGGTTTTTTTTTGGCTGATGGAAGTGGGTAGTTGAAGGAAATCATTTATATGGGAGCTCATATGTCAACATCCAGGTAACTTCAACAAACTGCTTTTTGTGTGTTCTGGTTTTGCCAAGATAAGCTGGAGTCTGGCTGTGTGGGATGGATAGCCAATTTAAACAATGTTTAGTGCATTTTGCTATTGTTTGGGGGGAAGGGAGTGACTATTTTAAGGGGGGGGGGAAACCTTGACAGAAGTGCCATATCACAACCAACCTGGAATCGAAGCCATTCAAGTTTAATTTCAAACTCAACTGAGAGCTCGGTTTATCTTCATGCTGTGAGAATATCATACTTGGCATTTACTATGAGTAGCAACAATCTTTTTTTTTTTTTTTTTTTTTTTTTTTTTTTTTTTTTTTTTGCTAACTTGTTGTTAGCTGCAAAGTCGGGTACAACCCATTGTGACCCCATGGACAACGTTCCTCTAGGCCTTCCTGTCCTCTACCATCCTCTGGAGTCTATTTAAGCTCACGCCTACTGCTTCGGTGACTCCATCCAGCCACCTCATTCTCTGTCCTCCCCTTCTTCTTTTGCCCTCAGTCTTTCCCAGCATTAGGCTCTTCTCCAGTGACGTATTTTTTGCTAATACATTCTTCCTATTTTCCTTGCTTTAGCTAAATGTTGGCGTAAGTGTTATAGTGCTTCATTTGAATAAAGTTCTCTCTCTTCCCCTTCGATATATTAATCAACCATTACTCTAACCTGAAATATATATTTTTAGAAAGGTTCCTCATAAAATATATGTTTTTGTATGCACCTGATTTGGGGGTATTCAGCACCTGAGAGACAAACTGGGGAAATTTGGCTGCTTTTTCTTCCTGTACAAATCAAAGCTATTTCTAAGTTAACAGTACTTGTGATGTACCCAAATCTCTGGACAGCAAACTTTGAGTTCACTGCGTTGTAATACATTCAGTGATGTTTGTTATTATGTATTCTTCTGCTGATAATCAACGATCTGAGTTTAACAATTGATTTTGCTGTTTACAGAAATGACAGTACATTATATATGTATTCTTTGAAACATACATGACTCTGGTACATATGTGTGCTCAGGGGCAGATATTGTTATGTGCCTTATATTGAAGTTTATTTCCATTTATGTAGCTCAAGACACCACCTATATGTTGCAGTTTTGATAAAAGAAATATACAATTGATAGCGTGGCTATCAGCGAATGTTTCCTCAGTAAGGGAATATAAGAGTTGAAGCCACATGTGCAACCTGCTCTCTTGTTTTTGTTGCTAATCTTACTTTGCTTTGCTAAGCTGTGACCTTCTTTCAACTATGTGAGGTGTGTTGTGGCCCGTCAGAGGAGCTGGCAGCAGATTCGGACAGTGGGGAGGTTGGGGGAGAACATGGGCCAGTCCTGGAGTCTGGGGATGGCTCTGATGAGGGCTCTGTGTCGGAGGCAGAGAGGGGGCCAGAGCCGTATGCCAGTTATCAGCTGCCTTCAGAGTCAGACATCAGTCAGGCAGACGAACAGCTGGAGCCTGTTCCCAGTGTGCGCATGTGCAGAGTTGCCAGACGAAGGGAACCGCTAAAGAACGGGTTGACTTGGGAGTAAGGCCACAGGTGGACGATGAATGGCTCCTCCCAGGTGAAATAAAAGAGGAGTGGAGTTTACAAAAGACAATTGGTTTGTGACTCCCCAAGACTCCTTGCCAAGTTTTGCATATATCAACCTGGCAGTTCTCCAAGCCAGATAAATTCTGTGACTGTAAATCCTCCCTTGAAAGACTTTGCTGGATGTGAATTCATGGTAAATTAATAAAAGGGGTTTTTCTCGGGACAAGGAGTTTGCTTCATGCTCGTGAGAAGCCTAGGTTAGAGCAAGGTGCGACAGGGTTCCATGCTCTCTTTGTTCCCTTTAACATCTACATGGAACCCATCGAGTGAGATTACCCATCACCACAGGATGAGGTACCATAAGCATGTGAATGGATACCCAATTGTACATCTCTGTCTGGGATGAAATGAGTGATGCCATGGATGTTCTTTTGAGGTGCTTGGCAGCCGTGGGCATCTGAATGAAGAACAACAGGCTTCAACTGAACTTTGGGAAGACAGAATGGCTGTGAGGCTCTTCTCTGTCTGGGGGTTTATCTTCTTTGATCCTGGATGGGGTTGAACTGTCTCAGCTGGACCCAGGGCATAATCGGGGATTCTTCCAAGACTCATCACTCCTATTTCAAGGAGCAGGTAGCAGAAAAGGGCTAGGAAAGCCTTTGTTGTGGTTTGTGTTGTACACCAGTTGTCCCTGCTCTTAGATTGAGAAGCCCTTCTCATTCATTCCCATATGAACTACTGCCAGTACTCTTCACAGTAATACCATTGTAAAATACCTGCTTGCACAAATATGGGCAAGTGCACCACCAGTGGGCGAGCATGCACATGTTCTTACTTGTGCCAGCAGCAGGCCTGCACCCGCCACATGCAGAATCATCCTCTTCTCTCCCCCCGCCCCCCGTCTGTGAAGATAAAGGTTTGGGAGCTCTGCTCTAGGGCTGTGGGGGTAAAAAACATCTGTGTGAGATGCACTGGATTCGGGGTCCAGTTCAGAACATTGGGTATGATTGTTAAAGCCTGTCATGGCATGGGCCTCTTATCTGAAGAGCCTCTTGTCCCAATCACAATGACCCATCCTAGCCGGCCCAAAGAAAGTCCAGTCACAGATCCTATCCAAAGAATTTCAACTGGTGGAATTTAGAGAAAGCCTTTTTTTTTTGTCACTGCTCTGCTCCATGGAATATCTTGCCCCTAGAGGTGAGGTTGCTCCCCCCCACCCCTCTGGCCTTCTGGAAAAGCATTAAAATCTAATACTGTTAACATGGGGATCCAATAGTGGTATGTAGCCCTGGCAGTGGTTTGTGGTTTGAGAATGCTCCCTCTGTCCTTTTTATTTTGATATTTATGTAAGGATTTTAATGGTCGTTTTACTTGTCAGGCACAGCGTGAAATAGGTAGTGTCTAATAAAGCATGGGTAGTCCTCAAGGCCACAATCGAGCCCAAAATATCTACTGCTAAGTGAGACATTTGTTATGTAAGTTTTGCCCCATTTTACAACCTTTCTTGCCACAGTTGTTAAGTAAATCACCCCAGTTAAGTTAGTAACATGGTTATTAAGTGACTCTGCCTTCCCTATTGACTTTGCTTGTCAAAAGGTGAACGTGACCCCGGGACACGGCAGTCGTCATAAATAAAAATCAGTTGGCAAGCATCCAATTTTGATCACATGACCATGGGGATGCCACAATGGGCGTAAGTGAAAAATGGTCATATGTCACTTTTTTTCAGTGTCATTGTAACTTTTGAACAGTCACCAAATGAACTGATGTAAGTCGAGGGCTACCTGTGTAAAGTAAAAACAGACGCCCTTGTTAGAAACCACAATCTCCTTTTAGGATCAATCACGTTTGTCAGACATCCCAGTGTTTTGACAATTAGGATGAAAAATAAGCTTAAAGCCATTGTCTTAATCTGGCTTCTAAGTTCCTGGAGAGCCCCCACATGATTCCCTGGTGAAATAAGAATGCTGGGTTGTAGGATTCTAAGGTTTGAACTAGTAAGGCCATTCTACTGGCTCCTGGGGAATTCTGGGAGTTGAAGTCCGGACATCT